CTTTGGACTATTTTACGGAAAAGCCTCTCAGCGAGAACATTCCAGAATCCAATAATTAACCAATATTTGAGTAATATTCAAATTAAAACATAGTAGTAGATTTCCGTGATTAACTTATTAACTTACCACCATAGTAAATGACACCATGAGTACCATTATCCGATGTCTGCCATTGCTCTTCTAACCAAATAGAGAAAACCGATTGAGCAATATCACCTAGAAAAAGGTCTCGGCAATTGGGTTTTGCAATCATCTAATGAAATCCCGGTTTATCAATCACTTAATGAACCTTTGAATCTTTGAATTCACCTTGCGCAACTCCTCTGATGAACGGAGGTGGAATCGTACTGTCGCTGGCAATGGACTGAAAAGCCAAGCCGAGTACTCCATCAACACCATTCAAAGCCGAGACGGCAGCCGGCAACTCGTTGGCCTGCCCCATAACTGTGGAGGGAATGACGATCATGTTTGCATCGTTGGTAGAGAGCTTAATTAAAAATACATCAGATCAATCGGATTAACCTGTTACTGCTATAGAACAACTATATGCATTTACTTTTCGTACTAGGTGAATAGTTTCCAGGATTCGTAACCTAATGACTTCTAAAATAGACAGTTAGAAGGGATTCGAAGGGACCTTTTCCAGATCGATGCACCTTCAAATAAACTCCTCTTAGTGAGAAGAGAAACCGTAACTGTAGAAATGATTTACCCTGAGAACGTCCATTCCATAGAATCCTTCCGTTACGCCGAAGTGGTTGCTTGCCATGAATGAAGAGGATTTTTTGCTATACGTCGTAGAACCCTGACTAAAATGATTCTATTAGCAGCGGAACAATTTGCAAAATTTCGACGATTTTGGTGACTCCTGCACCCCCCAACGGCTTTTTCTGTCCTGTAAACATGACATTGTTCATTGAGCATACCTATTGAAACGCCTTTTGTTTTTGCATGTGGTACAAGAGCTATCAGGAACCCAAAAATCTGCTGATCCAGTATCGACGATCACCGTGAACAACTGCGGTGGTGTTCCCACAGTGATGTTCGTGACAAAAAAGCTCTGAGTTTTTTGTTCGAGCTGAAAAAACGCCGATTTCTGGGAGTTATTTGGTGAAAAATCTGAACAACTTACGATAGCTCCTCCTGCAGTGACATTGGACACAGCGGCTAGTTTTATTGGAATGACAAAGGTTGAAACGGTGCTGTATGCCAAGAGGGCGGTGGCTGCCAGTACAACTCGCATTGTTGAGCTTCTCAGTCAAGGAGACTAAGTACTCCTTTCTTATATAGCGGCAGATGACGTTACACTATCACTCCGTAGAAATGGCATCGTTATCGGCTGGAAATGCACCTGCTCACAGCCCCGATTAGGTGCAGCCGATCTAGTGACGTGCGCATACGACGGGTTCCAACAATTTTTCGAGATCACACTTTGTCGAACTTTTCGACATACTCTTGAGGAGGATAGTCTACAAAATAGCACAAGAAAAGCACTTATTGACTCATCTAACTCTGTTCACCCCCTCTCCTGGAAGCATCATATGAAAGGCTAATAGTGTGGCAAGACGATTGTCGTTCAAGGAAGGGAAATAATCAGGCTAAGCCTTGAACTAGCTGCTTCACGTTCCCTGCGGGAACATAGACCTTACAGAGAACTCCGATCGTAATTTTTCCCTGATTACCATGATATCAATACGCGCATACATTTCTTTGAAATTGATGTAAACATTCTACCAATACCTTTCCTGTCTTGTGCGAGCGAACTACTTAGTAAGCTCTCTTTCCGTTGACGAACAAACGCTTATATAAGGAAACTTCATGGCAGATCGTTCAAGAAAATAGAAAATACACAAAGAGTAGCAAAATACAAACTAAATAAACAACAAAACTTTCTGTAAATAATAACAAAACATAGTGCTATGGCGGTTGAGAAATGAGTGGGAAAGGGAACAGATCGAGGAATCCAGCGTTGAACTGATAATACTAAGGCTTCCGAATAACAACTTTTCCCATCTCAAATGGCGCATGTATTTGATGTTCCGCGTGCTCTAAGGCCTACTCGAATGAGTTGAAAGGTCGTAGTCGTTTAACCATACTGGGATCCATTCTCAACCATTAGCCCCTTTCTAATTTCAACCCTCACAGCTCTAGGAAAGCTACAGATGAAAAGATGACATTGACGCTTCAGTTCATAGGCTATGGTAACAAAAATCGGTAATTGGGATAAATTCATTGATAGTTGATAGAAGCTATGCGAATTCATCAGCGGTAATCATAAGAGCTGCCAAGATACATACTTCTAATAATGTGACATCACTCGCGGTAGCTGAACAGTGGGAGCTTCTCGTAGCATGTCTCGTTTCAGCACAAAAAACTGGAACTGTAGTACCAACGCAATCGTTTGAAGCTAACGCTAGACTGAACAGAGTGACTTCAAAAATTACCTTCGATGATTATTGACTTAACCATGAAAATAGGTTTCCGTCTTGATCAATGGCACCGAGACCCAAACCCTGGAACAGGCGAAACATTTTTGTGAAAAGGCTGGGGCGCTCCGTGAAACATCATTTCTTGATATACACAATACGCAAACACAGTTTGCACACAATAGGCTGCTGAATTACGCTGGTTAGTTCGCTCCTCTTTTTCGTGTGGTCCCCTTCGAATAGGCTGAGCAACGTGCTTTTACCGACACCACCTTACACTTACTTTTTCATCAATAACACTATAAAGACTATAAACCCTGAACTATAAAGACACGTATGAAACGTTTCGTACCTCTTCGTATGGATCCACATCGTCCGGTATTTCTCCTTCTTCTTTCTTAACAACACTAAAAAGCGAGGGCTCTTCGTCGTGATCTTGGGGTGTCGTATTGTCGCCGTCCACATAATAATCGAAACCATATGCAGACTCTTCCTCTTTTATAACTGAAACACAAAAGTAGAATACCAAATAATGCTGGGAAAGACAATGGAAATACCTTTATCAAAATGCGAAAATTGGCGGCCTCTTATTTCGTGGACAAGGTTTCCAGCATTGGCTATCTTCTCCCGGATAACACTCATATATATCGGATCCACTTCCTCATCTTGTACAGCTCCTGAAACGAAGCATATGCTGCTACATGGATAGGCGATTATAAACTGCAATAATACACCATAGTATCAAAATGATGCTGATTGCATTTTTACAAATTCCAACACCGCCAGCTACCTTGTTTTCCTCCTCCACTCAAAGCATCCAGATGCTCCGATAAGTCATCGAACTCGCGTTTTTGGCGAAATAGAGGTATGTACATGCAAATATCATACATTAACTTACTTTTTTGGCATATTCGTAGACGATAATAATCAAAAAAGCCGTCGAAGCCATAAAAATCAAGCAGCTGCAGCGCAACTGTAAATTATAACAGTAAATCATTACTGTTAATATTGGTAATGTTGCATAAATATTAGTCAGGAAGAAGCTAGCCTTCTAAAGACTTTTCTTGCAACTGCTCATCATTATGGTCCCGCAGTTGCACGTTATATAACCCCCCTCAACTCACTGTGTAGCCATATTTAAAAAGAGCAAAACTATTTTCCATCACTATGAAGATATGGGGACTTAGAGATAAGTGGGATGTCCATTGCTCTTGCACTACAATTTAGATAAAGCCGAGTGCAAATCGCTGCAAATGTGCAGCTGATGACTAAGTTCCTGAAGAGCGCACTCGCGATTCACTCAAAACATGCGCTATCAGCAATGAATGCACATTATAATATTCGGAATTCGTTCACTTTCTCAGAAGCACGCTTTTTTTTTACGAATAGCTTCCACTTGCACAACTATAATCTAGTAAAACTGTACTATACTAAGAAAACCTACTTGGGTGGTTTTACACACCACATAGCAGCACTCAAATCGCTCAAAGCACATGAGTTGTTCTGAAGCTGCTGAGGATGTATGCCAAATAAACGCCTGTCTTCACCGCGTGTGTTCAGGGGATGTCTGAAAAGGTGCAATATGAAACTTCATACGGGTAACGACGCTTCAGCACTTGGAAGAAAAAAGGCAATAAGCGAACACGGACAGGCGATAAGCGACGTAGTCCAGAAACGGCTCCGCTCCAAGATCGTCTTCTTGTTCTAATTTGGCTTTGATCTCCTTCAGACGTGCCAGTTCCTGAGATGAGCTGGGAATGTCCTCCAACCCTTACTGAACGTGTTTATCAAAATCAACCTCCTCCATACGTTGCAGCTTTTCCATC